TTTTATTTCTTGGGTAGAATAGTTTGTTGGTGGGTTTGTGTGAAGGACCTGTCTAGTTGGGCCGGCAGGCCTACTGTCTCGCGTCAGGTGTTGTGGGATCTGATAGTGAGGTGTGGGCTACCCCTTTATATACCTTCCTTTGATGCTTTACTTTCATTGTTCCTTGATAATGTGAGTAGTCACGAAAGCGCTTGGAAATTTTTCTAAATTTTTTCAGAGTGGTTGTTTTGCATAATATATATATATTTATATATATATATATATATAAAATATATAATATATATATATATATATAAATATAATATATATATATATGTTTGTAGATGAATGGTTCAGAGAAGCGACATGTTGATAAATTTAACACATGTGCAACTCTTGGGTATCTTTATTGATGGACTGAACACATCGACTCAAGGTTGAGGGACTGATTACCTCATTCTCCTCCTGTTCTTCAAGTTTCTCCTACAATATGGACTGATGAAGCCACTGTGTGGCGAAAAGTTTCCTCAATAAAGATACCAAGATTGCACATGTGTCTAATTTATCAACATAAATTTTATATATTATATTTTTTTTATATATATATATATAAAATTTTTAATATATATATATAATATATATATATATAATATATATATATGTACATAGTTCGTATGTTCGAGTCTCCTTCAGCCAGAGATCAGTGTTTGTTATATTTCGCCTGCTCTCGCGAATTCCTTGCATTGTTCAAATCTCTAGTAAAGGGTGATGCATGCAGGGGATGAGAATGAAAAGCGTAAGCCTTCTCCCTGAAAGCTGGCTGCCTTGGATCAAACGTGTAGCGAAAGCTACACGCCAAGGTATTGTCCAGTGTGGGTAGATCGGTAAAGCACTGCGTACCTTGTCCTAAGGTTCGTAGGTTCGAGTCTCCTTCAGCCAGAGATCAGTGTTTGTGTATATTTCGCCTGCTCTCGCGAATTCCTTGCATATATATATATATATATATATATATATATATATATATATATATATATATATATATATATGAGGGAAAAAAGGTGAGTGGTGCGTTGAGGTATATGTGGAGTCAAAAAACGTTATCTATGGAGGCAAAGAAGGGAATGTATGAAAGTATAGTAGTACCAACACTCTTATATGGATGTGAAGCTTGGGTGGTAAATGCAGCAGCGAGGAGACGGTTGGAGGCAGTGGAGATGTCCTGTCTAAGGGCAATGTATGGTGTAAATATTATGCAGAAAATTCGGAGTGTGGAAATTAGGAGAAGGTGTGGAGTTAAATAAATGCATTAGTCAGAGGGCAGAAGAGGGTTGTTGAGGTGGTTTGGTCATTTAGAGAGAATGGATCAAAGTAGAATGACATGGAAAACATATAAATCTATAGGGGAAGGAAAGAGGGGTAGGGGTCGTCCTCGAAAGGGTTGGAAAGAGGGGGTAAAGGAGGTTTTGTGAGCGAGGGGCTTGGACTTCCAGCAAGCGTGCATGAGCGTGTTAGATAGGAGTGAATGGAGACGAATGATACTTGGGACCTGACGATCTGTTGGAGTGTGAGCAGGGTAATATTTAGTGAAGGGATTCAGGGAAACCGGTTATTTTCATATAGTTGGACTTGAGTCCTGGAAATGGGAAGTACAATGCCTGCACTTTAAAGGAGTGGTTTGGGATATTGGCAGTTTGGAGGGATATGTTGTGTATCTTTATACGTATATGCTTCTAAACTGTTGTATTCTGAGCACCTCTGCAAAAGCAGTGATAATGTGTGAGTGTGGTGAAAGTGTTGAATGATGATGAAAGTATTTCTTTTTGGGGATTTTCTTTCTTTTTTTGGGTCACCCTGCCTCGGTGGGAGACGACCGACTTTTTGAAATATATATATATATAATATATATATATATATATATATATATATATATATATATATATATATATATATATATATATATATATATATATGCATATGGATAGGGGGCAATGTGGCAGATGTTGCAGGTGTATGGTGTAGGAGGTAGGTTACTGAAAGTAGTGAAGAGTTTTTACGAGGATAGTGAGGCTCAAGTTAGAGTATGTAGGAAAGAGGGAGATTATTTCCCAGTAAAAGTAGGCCTTAGACAAGGATGTGTGATGTCTCTGTGGTTGTTTAATATATTTATAGATGGGGTTGTAAGGGAAGTAAATGCCAGGGTCTTGGCAAAAGGCGTGGAGTTAAAAGATAAAGAATCACACACAAAGTGGAAGCTGTCACAGTTGCTCTTTGCTGATGACACTGTGCTCTTGGGAGATTCTGAAGAGAAGTTGCAGAGGTTGGTGGATGAATTTGGTAGGGTATGTAAAAAAAGAAAATTAAAAGTGGAGGATAACAAAAAGATTAGGTGATGAAAGATTGGATATCAGATTGGAGGGAGAGGGTATGGAGAAGGTGAATGTATTCAGATATTTAGGAGTGGACGTGTCAGCGGATGGGGCTATGAAAGATGAGGTGAATCATAGAATTGATGAGGGGAAAAGGGTGAGCGGTGCACTTAGGAGTCTGGAGGCAATGAAGATGTCATGTCTGAGGGCTATGTGTGGTGTGAATATAATGCAGAGAATTCGTAGATTGGAAGTTAGGAGGAAGTGCGGAATTGCCAAAACTGTTGTTTTGAGGGCTGAGGAAGGGTTGTTGAGGTGGTTCGGGCATGTAGAGAGAATGGAACGAAACAGAATTATTTCAAGAGTGTATCAATCTGTAGTGGAAGGAAGGCGGGGTAGGGGTCGGCCTAGGAAAGGTTGGAGGGAGAGGGTAAAGGAGTTTTTGTGTGCGAGGGGCTTGGATTTCCAGCAAGCATGCGTGAGTATGTTTGATAGGAGTGAATGGAGACAAATGGTTTTTAATACTTGACGTGCTGTTGGAGTGTGAGCAAAGTAACATTTATAAAGGGATTCAGGGAAACCGGCAGGCTGGACTTGAGTCCTGGAGATGGGAAGTACAGTGCCTGCACTCTGAAGGACGGGTGTTAATGTTGCAGCTTTATAAACTAGTGTAAAGCACCCCTCTGGCGGCAAGACAGTGATGGAGTGAATGATGGTGAAAGTTTTTCTTTCTCGGGCCACCCTGCCTTGGTGGGAATCGGCCAGTGTGTTAATAAAAAAGAAATATATGCAATAAGATCACAGCAAACAGGTGATTTCAGAATATGCAAAACAACCACTGTGAAAGACTAGAGAAATTCCAAGCGCTTTCGTGACTACTCACATTATCAAGGAACAATAAATGTAATGCATCAAAGGAAGACATATAAAGGGTCTAGACCACACCTCACCATCACATCCCACAACAAAGCAACACCTGATGAGCGACTCATAAGAAAGAGAACACTGCAGCAGGCCTGCTGGCCCAACTAGACAGGTCCTTCACGACATCCCACAAACAAACTATTCTACCCAAGAATTAAGATTTATTATTTGTCCAATGTATTATTAAATTCTTCCCAAATTCTATTAATTATAAATGGATCTAATTTATATAAACCAAAGGAAATATTCATATTATTTTCAAAACTGTTTTTTATGGAACAAGATTCAGTTATATTCCTGTCGACCATGGACTTGCTTGATACTACTTTCTCAACTTTTTGAAAACCAATTTGATGGTTAAAATCTCTCACATATAGTACAACATACAACCTACTCTACACACTCATGTACCGAGTATTGCCTGCCAGCAATACACTGTACATGAGTACTCTCCCCAAAACTTAAACAGGCCTCTGCACACTAGGACCTCACAGGTAAACCTGAGAGCACTTAAGCTAATAAAGTAACCTATGGTATAAACTTACAAAAAATCACCATCCCTACAAACTCCAAACTGTTACGTCTTAGGATATTTTGCTCCAGCTGCTGCGCTCCACATACTGCCCCACAAACATCTCACCTGCTCCTGTCCTGGGTACTCTTCAGGAATAATACGCGTCTGGTGTCAGAACAAACCCCGGTAAATGGTATATGGAGCGCCTTTTTTATACAATATTTACCAGTACACTGCGAAATAAATGCACTACGTAATAGTGCTGATAGTTTGTCTGGAAGTACATAGTGTCTTCATATATGCTTTGTCTCTTGATAATAATCATCTTTTCCCTCAGTTCCCGCGATATCGTATCAGAGTTGCTGGTCTATACTTCGAGTCTAAATTCCTTGGAGTCAAACCACAAATAAAGGAAACTTGGCGCTTCGATCAATCCTGGGCTGTTATCGGGTTTCAAGGCTTAGTTCCCATTTCCAATTTGAGAGTTAGTTGTGAATTGTTCCTGCCTCGGTATTTTATTCTTTTCGATTAACTTCCCTGGTGAATTTTTTTTTTTTTTTGAACAAATTTCCGATTTCTTTACCGATATTCTGCACGATTTTTTATTACCATGTTCACGAAACTGTACATGGCTCTGTTCATGGCCCTGTACATGACTCTATACGTGGTACTTTGCATACTCTCATGCCTCTAAAATCATTTATTTTCGGAACTTCACATGAAGTTACATGTGAAGTTCTGATGTCAACTTGATTCAAGGATACCACTGGAAAGGTGAGTTTCTGTTTCGCCAGAGAGGGACAGGTGGTCACCTTAACTTATGTCTGTAAGCTATGACACCACCTGGCAGCTGGTGGTGAGGAGGTGCAACCTATGTTAGCAACAGCAATAAAAGGAAAAAAACACAAAGAGAATGAGCAATAACTTGACTAATTGGTAGCACACACACGATTAATTATTTATCTTGCTATTTCCAGGGCTAAATATTTATTTTTGCTTTCCTTTATTCAGTAATTAATGTAGGACAAAAATCCACACGGGAAACAGTTTCCTATAAATCATTAGCGCAATATTAAACCCATGTAACACATACAAGTGTTTGAATATTTTCTATTATTCGGTTAACGAACGTGTCAAATGACACCTGGCATCACTTTTCATGTAATTTTGCCGTCATGTAAATAAACTAAAAGTTTGACTTTGGTCCCGTGTTGCAGGTGACCTACGCGTTCTGCAAGGAGTTTATCAACCTACTGGAGCAACATCAGGTGCCCGTGGGTCACCTAGACACCACTAATGTCTTGGTCAAGCTCTTTCAGAAGGCAAGTGTTTAGCACCACACTCATTCACTATCTCTCTCTCTCTCTCTTATATATATATACATATATATATATATATATATAATATATATATATATATATATATATATATATATATATATATATAATATATATATCACAATATGCAGAATAACCATAAATGCATAACCAGTCGCAAACAGACGAATCCAACAATGTAAAACAAGTCAGTGGAAGATGGAAAACACTGGATATAGTCGTTTTGCACTTCCGTGCTTGTCTGGAGCTATGCAATGTTGCAAGAGTTACAACAGTTAGGTTCAGGGAAAAGATTCTCTCATAGGTAGGAATGTTAGTGTGCCACATGGACTGTCCTGTTCTGTCCTTTAACGTTTACAGAAAATGGTAGAAAATTATTCGCGAAGTAAGAGACCGTCCAATGACGTCAGATTATCAGCTACTAGTTTAGTATCATTATGAAATCTAATTTAGTAGACAGCTGTGGCAATATTATTTTAGTTTTGTGTGGAATCTTGAAGTGACGTAAGAAATACTAACAAATATTACCCATTGTCACCTAACTAAACACAATTAATTTTCAGAGATACGTGGCGGCTGGAGCTGTCCTCCAGTACAGAAAAGTATTGTAGAGGGTTTACTGGTTTTTGAGTATTCGAGTATTTCTAGTTATTCCTGAGTGTTTCCCTACATCCCTGAAGGATTTATTACTATCCTGTTCGACCGTCTACACAAGTTAGTGAATACTAAACATACTGATGTGACATAACAAGAAGCTTCTTAGTGACATAAAGGAGAACCAGATTTTCTCCAAGCTGGCATGAACACCTACTGGATTATATCTATTGTGAACTTAAAGCAATGAGAAGGAACACTGAACGCATTCATACTAGGAAATTCAAATGACTAGATCACACATGCTAACTCGGACTTCGTTATAAATTTCTCTAGTAAGGAATGAAGCAGTGATCAGCAGGCAACCTCAAGGTTCAGCTTAAGCTTCGTGCCTACAACTGGTGGTGATAATTGTGAAGACCTAGCCAAGTCTCTGCTTGCTGAAAAAAGATGGGGACTTATCACCTGAAGTTTATTGTACTTAACTCCGTCTATTGATTCAACGCGTTTGTTATTCTAGATAAGGAGGAGTATGACTCAAGAAATCGTAATGACACGATTGCAAATAAACCATACCCCCGGCCGGATTGAACGTCATGTTGACGGCAGTGAAGGGACTTGAGCTAGAGTTCGTCACGGCCACGCTAGCTGGAGATTCGTCTGTAAAAACTTGCATTTGTGGTCACAGAGGTGCCTGTGCTAACTTTCCTATGGTGTAGAAATATACCTAGTTGGATGAATCTTATTGTGGCTAGCTGGTCTAGTGGCTAACGCGACGGGCTGGAGTTTTGAGACTCTATGACCGCGGGTTCAATCCCGGCCGGGGGTATGGTTTAAGGAGGAGTACTCGGATAAGCTGAATCGTTTACTAGGTGATATGTGACGTATAAACTGTTAAGAATCCCTTCGATCACACTGACATTTTAACAAATTTTCAAGAAGATTATGGAGGGAAATGATGGACTAATAAAATAGTTGTTGGCCAGGTCAGCAACCCTTCCGCAGCTGAACGTATGAAGACAAATCAGGTAACCCAGTTCTTCCTATCATGTGTTAGGTTGGCTTTGCTCTTTATGACTTACCTTAATGGTCAGTAAATTCCTAAGTCCCTTGGAAGGAAGAATTTCGGATGCACATATTAAAAACAACGTTGACATTACAGAAAGGCTCCAAAGATCAAATGTATTCTGTGACTTTGCTCTCGTGAGTTTTGATGTCACAGCATTGTTCACCTGCGTCCCTGTTCATGATTTGTTACAGCATCTTGAAGAGGAGTTAGAGAACCTCTCTATGCCCTAACCTATGAATGCAATTATTAAACCACTTTAATTATGTGTTATGTACTGTAAATTTGTATCTAAAAGTAAATGTTATGCTCAAAAACTAAGCAATTTATATATGGAATTCTATGAAACTAGATTCCTTAAAGATATTCTCCCAAGTAACAAGAAGTATTTTGAATATGGAGATGTTGCTGTGGCTAAGAGATCAAAATATGACGAGTTCTTACCTAAAATCATAGGTTTAGTACCCTACATGAAGTTCACAGTTAAGCATTAATATTAAAATCGTAAAAAAATAAAAGACAGGTTGTTAGATAAGACACATGCAACAGTTACGTATCTTTATTTCGAAAGGTTTCGCCTACACAGTAGGCTTCTTCATTTGATTTGAAGAAGCCTACTGTGTAGGCGAAACGTTTCGAAATAAAGATACCTAACTGTTGCATATGTATCTTACCTAACACTTACGCGTGAAATGGATAATAAACTATCATTCTTAGATGTTCAAATCCATATTGTAGACAGGAGGTTTATATTTACAGAATAGAGGAATCCAACTTACAATATGTGTCGTTGTAAAGTAACTACTATTCCAGTCATGAAACTAAGAATAAAAGAAGTGATTCCCTCACAGTGTTTTTGATAGCTTTACTTATTTGTGGTCTTGAGTATTTAGATGATGAACTTGGTAAGATATTCAACACAGCCACAAAACCGAGATATCTGAAGAAATTTGTTGGGAAGGAAGTCATGTCAGCCAGGAGAACTTTCCACAGGACTGAACCTAGGAAATTGCTTCCAAGGAAAAATGTATTAGCTTTACTCGACAATGAAAATTTAACCAGCCTTCCTGATACAATGAAAAGGTTCAATGTATATAGTGCTTAAGAATACTGGGAATGTGAAATACAGGTCTAATAAATGCCGTCCAACACAGTTGGAGGCATTTACAAGGTCTCCCGCACTCTATGTGCCCTCTCTTATGTAGGACAAACAGATAAACGTCCGGAACTAGACTAACCTGACATCAGTATTCAAGATGGCACAGGAGTTGAATGTAATGTTTAACTATGTCAGTTTATGCAATCATCTACTGAGTTGGTCAGCAGCTCAGGTCATTATACTAAACTGTTCTGCTACTGGAAGAAACATAATCGAATCCTCCCTTTTGAAACATAATGGTTATGCTATGTACAACTCAAGGGTTATACAAACCTTACATTTATTTGGTAGAGTGTTGTACACGGTCCCAAGCATTGGGTGCTCTACAAAATCCCAGGATAGCTCATTATACAACTTGGTTTCTTCATTACGTGGTAGGTAGGTAGGACATTTCTGGTATTAGACCCTCGTCACCCTTACATATCCTACATATTTCGCCAAACTCTTATTGAATGGAAGTATGATCGCAAGGATAACTCAGTAACGGCCCCAGATTCTCGCTTAGCAGATTACAATGGGCTTAGAGAACAACTATTTTCTGTGGCCTGGGGTAACGGATAGAGCTATCATTATGAGAGCTGCCCAAAGTACTTTTATTAAGTATAAAAACATTAGATCGAATAGAATGACCCTAAATGGACTAATAATGGGATCAAATATCTTTTAGGGCAAAAGAAAAGAATTTATAGGCTTATCAAAAGAGGTGAGGGTTATCTTATGAATCAATATATTGACATTAAGAGGGACGTTAAGAAGGGGATAAGAAAAGCTAAACGATTCTAAGGATTCGAAAACTAACCCAAATGTGGTCTCACTAGTGATGTATAGAGCTGTTAAATAACTTTTGGACTTCTGTTACTAATACTTCTTGAAATAAATTCTAGTAATCTGTTAGCATTATTGCGCACACTTAGGCACTGCTGTCTTGGCTTCAGATTTCTGCTTACCATGACTCCCAAGTCTTTTTCACATTCTGTATGATCAAGCTCTACTTCACCTAGTTTATAACTTCGAGGGTTATTTTCATTACCAAGGGCAAGTACCTTACACTTGTCCACATTGAACTTCATCTGCCATTTTTCAGACTAAGACATTAATTTGTCCAAATCCTCCTGAAGTTCATTGGTATCCTCCTCAGAATGAATAATACGGCCTATTTTTGTTTCATCAGCAAATTTGCTCATGTCACTTGTAATTCCTTCATCAAGGTCATTAATGTAAATCATGAACAACAGAGAGCCTACAACTGATCCTTGTGGAATGCCACTAGTGACTGATCCCCATTCAGATTTGGCCCCATTAATGGAAACTCTCTGCTTTCTATTGGTAAGCCATGTCTCTGATCATGCTAGAACTTTTTCTCCTATACCATGAGCTGCCACTTTTCCTAAGAGTCTTTGTGTGAGGTACTCTATCGAAGGCTTTACTGAAATCCAAATAAACAATATCTTATTTTTTATCTCTGTCTACTGCCTCAAATGTTTTATTTAGAGAGTCAGTAAATTTGTCAGGCAGAGACGACCTCACGTGTACCCATGCTGAGATTCATTAATCAAATTATGCTCTTCAAGATAACTTCTAATAATATCAACTATAATCGATTGCAACAATTTGCCTACTGTAGACGTCAGGCTGATTGGACGGTAATTTGATGGAATTGACTTATCCCCTGATTTGAATATAGGAACTACATTAACTGTCTTCCACATTTCTGGCACAACACAAGTTAAGATGGACGCATTAAACACGCTCTATAATGGCTGACTAAGTTCCATCTTGCATTCTTTAAGTACCCTGGAAAACAACTCTTCGGGTCCCAAGGGCTTATTTTGCTTCAGTTTAAATATCTGATAACCATGTCCCTCGTGACAGTAATATTAGTTAATTTGAATTCTTCGGGAACTGAATAATTGTTAATTTCTGGAATCTCACTTACGTCTTCTTGTGTAAATATTAACAAAAAAAAATAATCATTAAATAGAGAACGCATTTCCAGTTCGTTATCCGTCAGCTGTCCATTCCCAATTCTCAGAGGTCCTACTTTTTCCCTCACCTTGGTCCTAATTTCATAGTCACGTTTAGCTTTTTTAATCCTCCCTTTTACCTCTCTTTGAAACTGAACATATTGGTCAATAAGATTAATCTCTCCTCTTTTGGTGCGCCTAT